CATGGATTTTTAGATAAGCAAGACCTACAGCTTTAGGCTTTGAGATGCACATTTTTACTACTAATGTATGTTACACTTAAAATGACGACTTGCTGGTGGGTTGAGGTTACTACTAAATGAGGTTCTTAGTGATTCTTAACAAGAAATTACAATGCTTTGTTAGAATTTTTTTTCATTTTCTGTTTATAATCAGTTTAGTTACAGCATTTGCCTTGCTTCCGCCAAAATAACTCCAAACAATAGAACGCTAAGAATGATCTACTTCATACGTAGAAAAGGATGAAGCATTTTAACAGATACTGAAAAAAAAATCACCTCCAGACTGATATTATATCCACAATTTCAGCATCAAAACAGAAGTTACAGAGAAGTAAAACAAAGATGCTACAAATATTCATTGATTCATTGATTTTATACTTAATTATAAGTATGGTTGCATGTTCTGCTTACAACTTACAAAATTTAGGGAAAACATGAATGATTATTTAATAAAAGTGAAGAAACTAAATTAAGATTACACACAAAACCTTAATTCAGATATTCACTGATTTTTGATTGACTTTGAAACCAAAATAAGAATTTTTTTTAAGAAATAAACCTTTTCTTAGTGAATCCAGTTACAAAATACCTTGTACACTCAAAAAACCCTTAGATATGAGAATTCTTTAAAAACACAAGAATAGGTATGTATCTTTGGAGTACTTAACCCATGGTTATTTCAATAAGTACTTGTGCTTTTGCAGTTGTATTCAAATGAGTTGAAGTTAATAACATTTCTACAGCCTAAATGTGCAAAGCATTCTGCTAAGAACAGCAACAATTATTAGAGTTAGTTTTCATTTGTAAAATAATTCTCTCAATGCATTAGATCTCCCTACTGTCCTAATTATATAGAGACAATTTCACTCCCAACATTGGCACCTAACAAATTTTTTTTTGTTTGTTTAACTTGATAGTCATCCCCAGTTTTGCTGTCAGTAGCATGCTTTCAAAATTGCTTTTTCGGATAAGCTTTTTCCACTTCATTCTGCCATCTCCATTTAGGAAAGACAGAACACTGGCAGGATTTAACTGCCTAAAGTCTAAATTAACACCCACCCTTCCTTTTTCTATATTTTTCTCACTTTGTACATGCTTAAACATATAGAAGAGGGGTGGACAACTCCGAGCCCAAATTTTTTACCCCTGTTCCACCATGTGACTGGGATTGGTATTGAGCTAGCACAAGGCCACTGTGTAAGCAGAAGCGTTTGCAACAACTTCATGTCAAACCCAACCAAGCCCAGCCCAATCCTTCTTCCTCTCTATATAGTAGCAGAGTAACAACCTTCATCAAGGGAACAGAGAGTCTGTACTCTTTACCATACACAGCCCAAGGGAAACCAGATACCTTCATTGCTTTCTCCTTGAGAATATTATTCTACAGGTTGTTCTTCACCTCTGCTGAAGTTGTGTTGCTATCTGGCAAGGGAGTCAGAGAGAGAGAGAGAGAGAAAGACAGAGAGAGCCCAGAAGATGGCCTAGTGGCCATACATCTCTGCTGAGAAGGCAGCTTCATTTTAATCCTGCTCTGTGTTCATTTTTTAGTTCTTATACTAAGTAATCAGTTACTACGATAGATAACCCTGTCCTTTTCCACTTGGTATTAATTTTTATATTATTTTTTATATCTTTATTTTCTTTGATTTTTTTTGATTAATTTGAAATCTTTGATGATTTGAAATCTTTGATGATTTTAAATCCTTCAATGTACAAAAATTCTACCTAAGATGTAAAAAGTTTCCTTTCTTCTTGTGAAACAACAGCTCTTATCTCACTCTTTAAGGTGTGTGTGTGTGTGTATGTGTGTGTGTGAACCCCATTCAGACTGAAGAACAAACAAGTCTGCCTACAAGTTCCAGAGAGCGTGTGAGTGTATGCACACATATGCACTAACCAGAAAATGATGGAAGCATGACATTGTTCATATTTCTCTGAAAGAAAACATGAAATCCCTGTCAGTTCTATGATAGTATAGAAATAAGCCTAACCCTAACAAGTTAGGCAATGGAGATGTTCAATTACACATTTTTCTCCTCATAGCTTTCCTAATACCTCCTTTAAGCCGATCTCTTCTGTGCTATTATGGGTCCTGTTATGAGGTGTCCAGCTTCTCCAATTAATATTGAGAGACTTGATCTGAGTTGAAATTCCAGGTGCCTAAAAGTTAGCTGTAACATGTAATTTTTCTGGATCTAACATAAATATGACTGTTAAAAATATGCTTTTGTTTAACTAAATGTAAATAATTAACTAGAAGTTACATTTTCAGACTCCACTATCTTAATATATTTTCAGTTTATTGTATTAATTTTATCAACTGAATGCATTTACTTCCTTCAATATTTAATATCTTCTGAAAGGATTTTTTTATATATGTTTGTTTTCCTCATTCTTATGTAAGTTTTCACTAAAGCTCCATCACAAAAAAGGCAGATTTAATCCTTACAAAGTGTTTGCATCCCTTATATGTCCATGTTTAAAGATTTCTGACTAGACAGGACTTACACCCTACAGGCATTCTCTTCCTAATAGAAGACATCTGTTGAATTTGTTATAGGGAGCAGGACTCCACAAGGCTTACAGGAGTTGTTTATTATAGAGTATGAAAAAGGATGGCAGAAGCTACTTGGCAATTCAAAATGCAAGAATATATTTAGACTCTTTTGTCCAAATCCCTCACAGTATGTGATCTAATTTTCTTTGGGAAATAAAGGCTTTTAGCTACCTTTCATTTAAATAAATAGTTTTATTTTGTTTTAGACTTTCAATGGAAGAAAATAGACACAATGCAGATGTGAGAACAACTCTTTATTTAACACCTCAACATTTCTTTCTCTGTAATTTGGTTCTCTATGCTCCCAGAATGTTTCAGATGATCATCTTTGCTATTTTGGTCACATGATAGAAATGGTAGGGTAAACCTGTATTGCCAGGTGAATAGTCTCTTGCCAAACATGTTTTCCCCCTTTTCACTGGCTTTATTTTGGGTCATGCAGTTTGAAAAATAATCTCTGCAGCTTTATTTAAGTGCACTCAAAATGAAGCAGGGATTAATTAAACCAGAGGCATCAAAGAAAGCAGTGCGAAAATGCTGCACCTTAGCTCATAATGCAGGGACCAAAGAGAAGTGGTGGGAAGCCCCTAATAGTGGTGCCTTTCCTTCTCTATCTGTTGTGATCAGCTGGCATATCATAGGGGAAAGAGAAGGACTGGTCTACTGAATTCAGTGTGAGCTGTTGAAACTAAGTAGTTCTGGAAAATCACTCTTTTGAAAGCAGTTTTCATCATAGCAAGGTCAGAAGTCCGGTTTATTCAGGGCTCAGAGATACAGTTAAACTGTAATAACCTTGTGAATAGTCTATTCTGTTATAGTGAATGAGAGCTTATTTGACCATGCTTAAAACTCATGGAAGAATGTTAAGTAAAATTATCTTGCATTTGCTATAGGCCAAGAACATGTACTCACCTGACTCAAAGAAAATTCTTTAACAAGGCAGCTTAAATATGTGTCACAGTACTCAGACTTGCGTCAGTCTTATATAAAGGGATTTCTTTGTTGGTTTTAGAGACATTACTGCCGTTACAAAACTCAGCATGTTTGGAGAAGGGAGAGAGCTGTGTTATAGCCGTATACAGGGATGTGATGTTATAGTTTCATTAGGACTGCAATGTCACTGTGTTGCAACTGATATAAAGTGAGTGGTATAAAAACATGCTGAGTAGGTAGGCCTACTCATCTTTGGAATATGGCAGGATCCAAATATAGATGAAAAAAAGATCCAAATATGGGTGAAAAATTTACTCTGTAAGAAGAAATTTCTCCGTACTGGTTTAAAACTGCATACTCATAAAAGAATTTGAATTTATTTTCATAATATTAGATCATTATATAATTCTTTGAGACTTTATTATTAAGTTAATCTATGCTTTTTACAGATGGCATTTGAAGATACATGATCATTATTGTCATATATCTTTCTAGACTATAATAGTATTTAATTGCTATTATTAAATAGTAAAAACTGATTATAGAGGTCTTGAAAATCAGCAGTTAAAAGGGCAAAGGACAGCTTTTAAAATATTTACCTTTTAACTCTCCAAAGTTTTCTTTCAGGCTATCTTTTGGAAATTGAATGCAAGAATGAGGTACTGGGATTCATGCCTTGGGCACAATTTTGGATTATAGTATGGAATCCTAGGCTGTAAACATACAAGAAAAGGTGAATGGAAATCTAGGAACTACATGTCAAAGAATTAACCACATAACAAAAGTGCTGCCTTAAAGTCAAGACCTAATCTGTGAAAACCCTAGTTTGTTATGGATGCAAACTCTGTCTTAAAAAAAACCCAACTTCGCAAGAGATTTATTTTCAGATACATTTGACTGTGTAAATGGGATAAGGATCTGCTTAAGGATTATAGTTTAAATCTGCAGAAAGGCTTTTGTGAGTTAAACTTTTTTTCCATTATATCAGTCATAGTCCTCTTAAGCATGAAAGGATGCTCTCTCTAAGGACATCCGTTCTTTTCTACTCTTTCTTTCTGCTACAGTACCCTACTTGACAACACTCATATTGCTCATTCTTTGCAGTAGCCACAGAGAAGTAGTTTCAGAAACTCAGAGAACAAAAGAAGCTAAATCACAGCATAAGGAGTCTCCACTGTTCAGTTTAGCACCACTTCCTCAATAAGATAGCCTCAAAACAACAGCATCATGGGTGAGATACATTTATAAAGGATAACAGAATCATTAGACTTATGTTTTCTTTTAATGACTGGTTAAGCTGCCAAGATTAATGGTCCTGAAAAGAAGACTTAGGCTGAACTAAGGTAACTAGAGATGTATAGTGGTAAACAGAAGGTAGACTGAAAACTATCTGAATGGTAGAGCTCCAAGGGTTCTGATCAGTGCCACAAAATCTAGGTGGAGGCCTGTAGCTAGTGGTGTCCCCTCGGGCTCAATACTGGGTCCAGTCCTGTTCCCCTTGTTCATCAGTCATCTGGGTGATGAGGCAGCGTGCACCCTCAGCAAGTTTGCTGATGATACAAAACTGGGAGAAGCGGCTGATACCCCGGAGGGCTGTGCCCTGTGGTTCAGAGGGACCACAACAGGCTGGAGAGATGGGCAGAGAGGAACCTCATGAAGTTCAACAACGGAAGTGCAGGACCCTGCCTCTGGGCACCAACCCATTCACCACTAGAGGCTGGGGGCTGACCTGCTGGAAAGTAGCTCTGCAGGAAGGCCCTGGGAGTCCTGGTGAACAACAAGTTGACCATAAGCCTGCAAGGCATCCCTGTGGCGAGGGCAGCCACGCATGGCTCTTGTGTCAAGCTCCTGCTGACACAGCTATAAATGTGCATTTGGTCTTCCTGGCTAGGGAGCCAAAGGCAGCTTTGACCAAGGCCCTCCAATAATACACTTGCTGGCTACGGTGGTTCAAGTGCCTCAGCCTTGGAGGCCAGGAGGGCTAGGCTGGATCCTTGACTGTGGTTGGGGGCTCTGGTAGTGGGGTAAGGCTATTTGAGTGCTACTTTGAGGGCAGAACTTTGAGCGCTAAAGCAAAGCCGTCTGTTTTCAGAGTCCTTCTCTTTGGAGGCCTCCTCAGGGCATCTCTGGAAGAGCAGTCACCTGCGTGAAGGGACATGCCATGAAAAGAATATGGACTGACAGAGCAAGTCTTCAAGGAAAGGGATGGTGGACGACAAAAGTTCTGAAGGCTTTACTGTAGTGAAGCTAGGCGGGACTGGATCAAAAGTCTCCCTGCTCCGGGTCCAAGGCTACCCTGAGCCCAAAACGGGCAGTTAAGTGCTAGCCAAAGCCAAGTTTCAACATGGAAAAACACACTGCATGTCCCAGCAGAGTTCCCACTGTGGCAAGTTGATAAGGGTACTGCCAAGGGTTTTTTCTTTCTTTCCTTGCTTTCTTCCTTTTCTTTCCTTGCTTGTTCTTTCCCCCTTTTTTCTTTAGATTTCCTTTCCTTGTTTGCTTTGCTTGTTTTTCTTGCCTTCTCTTTCCCCTTTTCTTCCCTTTTTGCTTTCTTTTTTTTCCTTTTTGCTTTCTTGTTTTTCTTCCATGCTTTTCTTCCACGCTTTTCGTTCCTTTTTCTTTATTTTTCCTGTCTTTCCTTGTTTTTCTTTCCTCTTTCCTTTCCCTGTTTTTTCTCCCCTTTCTTTCCTTTCTTTTCTTTTTCCTTTTTCCCTTTTCCTTTTTCCCTTTTTTCTTTCTCCTTTTTTCTCCTTTTTCTTCTCCTTTCTCCTTCCCCCTTTTCCTTTCCTTTTTCACTTTTCCCTTATCTTTCCTTTACGCTTTTCTTGTTTCTTTCCTTTCACTTTCTTTGTTTTTCTTTTTTCTTTCTTTCCTTTTTTCTTTCCTTGTTTTTTTTCTGTTTTTTCCTTTTCTCTTTTGTCTGTTTTATTTTTTACTTCCTCTTTTCTTTCCTTTATTCTTTCCTTCTTTCTTTCTTCTTCTCTTTCCTTTTCACTTCCTTCCTTTTTTTCTTTATTCTTCTTCCTTTTTTCTTTTT